TAACTAACTGTCGGGTAGTATTACAGCCAAAGGACCCAACACAGCTAAAGGTTTGTTTAATTACGTTCTATTTTAATGACACCGAATTACTTTCCATGTATCTTTTGCTTCTACAACTGAAAATTGTACGTGGAAAACGTAATATTTTTGAACCAAAGGTTTTCAGCTCCATTGCTGTAGAAGCAGCCAAGTGGTTTGTGGTTTCTGGAAACTGAGATGAAGGATTTTGGTCGGCTGAGGGGGCCGGGCCCCCCCTTCATTGTCAGTGGTAACTGCATATGCAGAACTGGCCGAATGAAGATTGACAATGGAGAAGTGAATCTCGCAGAGGAATAACTGCGCTAATGTTCCCCTGCCTAATAAAGGCTCGCGATGACTACGTAGTCCACGGCGTATCACAACGTAACGGTAATGTAATGTAATGTAATGCGATACGAAATGATCTGATATGACATTTTTGTAAGTTGCGTTATATGATGTCGCGTGATACGTAGTACAATGTTGTGAAACAGAGGATATTATCATATGATTAAAATATTATAGCATATTTTGTAAAATACAAAAAAATATATAAAATATACATTATCGCACATGGCAATAAATGTATTTTTAGGAAAAAGTTAAAATTTAGAGATTTGGAGAATTAAGGTTGCCATGGCGATGTGTCCGAGGATGACTTCTGCGTTGCTGCATTCTACAGTCTTAGTAGAGTGAGCACAGTTTAAAATATTTTATCATCGTCGGTTGATAAATTGTGTCGTTTCTGTTGAAAGTCTATGGCTTCCTTACAGGTCTTGGCATTTTAAGTTACAGCTGTCTCATGCTGTATTTCCAAACACTATAGCATCTCCCCTTTCTCATACACGCGCGTGCGCGCGTAGTCCCTGCAGAATCCTCATATCACTGAGTTACTGGCGATGTTCTGACGCCTAGTAATCTAATTTCAGCAACTTTCAACTCAGTAAGTTGGCATGAGGGTAGGTAACTCTGCAGGAATGGTGCAAAGGGTACACCGTGGTGTGCAGAGAACACCCAGCTTACTGGCGAGCACCAAATAAATTGGCATTGACCCCATCAAGAGTGAAACCTGCCCAGAATTTTCCCTAATTTCATTAGGGGAAACTGAAAGATATACGACTAATACTTTGTATTTTTTCACGTAAAAATTTCGGACAGACTGAAATCCGGGCCATTTGTTGCTGGGAATTTAAAAAAAAAGTCCTAAAATTGCATATCTCTTCTTTAGGGTTTAATCCTTTAAAGAAAGTGATAACTATATGTCCCACCTGATTTAACAATTAATAACTCTTCATTTTGCATTTATCATTTAACAATTAACAACTCTTCATTTTGCATTTATGAGTTTTGTCTGCTACAGTAAGAAGCGAATATTTCTTTAAACACCGTCAACCAGGTGATATTTATAGTAGTGAAGTGTTTGTGTTTTCTATGCGGTACGGTCTGAATACTTATTTATTATTCAGATGGAAAAATAGGCTTACATAAAACAATCTCATTTCATTTTCAAGGACCTTTAATAACACAATAATTAATCGAATCATTTTGTTACATGCTTCGCACCCTAAACTTTGCCTAAGAAGTTCCAACACTTCGTTAAACATGAATCTATTGTATTTTGCGTGTACAGCTTCGAATGTTTTTCTCCATGTGTGTCCATAAGTTATTTTATTTCTATAACTGTAGTTCACTTTCAATCACTGTCTTAGAGCTCTTACCTTTAAAACATACTCTTACTTTGCGTTCCTCTGTTCGTGACTTCCAAACGTTGACATCCATTCGTTCTTTTAACTCAGAAAAGGCGCAAACTGCTCTGAAATGCCACACAGTGTCCACGAAAATGATCAAGCTACATCTCGGCAAACAACCATCTTCAGAATGTAAGAAATTCGTGTTTGTTACAACGGGGAGTATTTATTGACGCTGGCAAATAGTGTCTGGCTTGCAACCTCTGACCCCTGGCTTTTAGTGGCAGTCTGTGGAAGATAAATAACATCATCTCTGGTCCAGAACGAGGAAACTGCTATGGGCAAGAACACGACGACCTGCTTACTGCGTGTAGCAGGTGGAGGCCTGGGCCTACCAGGTAGTAAATAAGCAAACACGTGTACCTGCCTGACAGGAGGATACGAGGCCCTTCGCGTCTGTTTGGGAATACGGAACTGCTAGTTGTGGTTGAGTGGTTAGAATTCCCGAATTATATCCCGGCCAAATTACAGCCCCATAGGCGTCGTTTCTCATTTCCCCTACGTGCAATCTGTGCAATACCATTACAAATTGATAACGCTAATCATATTTAATAAATATAATCTTTTTACTCTAGATAGGCTGTTTCTTTTTAGGTAGAAACTTTGTCCCCTGGTCCCTATTTCGCAAACACACTGAATTCATGTTTATTCCTTAATGCACGCAAAGAACAGGATGAATTATATTTATCAGTCATGCAAAACTTACAATACGTAGTATTGATAACGTTGCCAATTGCTAGAGAAAGTTGACTGTGTTTTACGATCTTCTCGTAGATTTCACTTCATCTAATTATAACTAAATTCAGGATACAGAGAGATCGGTTGCTATTTCGATGACTGTAAATGTATCACGTGTGGGGGAGGTATAAAGTTTGTAGTTGTTTCGGACTTTGAGTTGCTGCTAATTACAAATTACAGTATTGTATGTTCTGACCCAGAGGCACGGTTCTTGCTAAAACAGCTTAGTGGTGTCTGGGTCGGGGGGTCTGCCATCCCAGCGAGCATCAAATATACTGCAGGAGTTCTTGTTCGGATTATAATGCAGAATAACGCTTGCAGAATAATAAATTATAGAATACTGTCGGTGTAACTATTGCCGTCTTGTCGATCTTTGCAGAAATTAAAAAGTAAAATATGTCAAACGATAAAGTAAGTAATAAATGTGTCATGTACAAGCGGCAATAGTAATAAATTTCAAACGATATAGTAATTTGTGCACATTTTAATACAATTTGTATTTGAGTCCTAAAAGTAATGACTTTTTATCAATTTTCAAAAATCGTGCAAGGAAATGTTTCTTGGGGAAAAGAAATTGCCTGTTTCTTGCTGCAAGATCGCAATATATATTTTTTGATTCGATCTAACAGTGCACTGTCAAGGATTTACCTCCTTCCAACACAAATCTATCGTCACATGATACATCTATAGGAGACCTTAGGAAACAAAAGACAACCGAATTGAGGACATATGTAGTTATTGCACCGAAAGATTATATTACTCATGTAGAAGACAAAAGATCCTAAGCGAAGCTTGAAGGAAGGGGAGAGGTGTGGGTTTGGAGTACAGACATGGCGAACTATAAATCCGATGACGTCATAACCATGGAATGGTTTGGTTGATGCTCTGAAGAAGAACTTGATCTTGGTTGAAATGTCTGATACATGTCATCTTGTATTAAATTGTTACGCACTAGATACTGTGTGCTATGCACTCCGAGATTAATTGCGTATAAGAACGGGATAAGCGTATAACCTGAGTGTGAAGAAACTTGGTGCATTTCTTATAACTGAAACTGTAAGACGCGTCGTTCAGGTAAAGAAAATAAGAATTTCCTTAGTAATTTATTTTAATCCATAGCAATGAGTGGTGGGGCGGTTATAAATTATGAATTGGAAGGAATATGGAAGGAAGCGGCCGTGTAAACTCAAAGGCACTAACATAATATTTATATGGAAGGCTGAGGAAAACCACGAAAATGGTCGGATAATTTGGGAATAAAGAGACAGTTACACCTGAAGATAATAAAACACAGAGCTAAGTCGGAATAAAAGATAAAAGAGGGAAACAGCTGAGAATAAGAAAATACAAAAAGAACAGACAGTAGACCACAGACGTAAACTCGAACAAAAAATATAATCATATAAGAGTAACTTGAATTCGCGTAGGAAAGCAGATAAAGTCGCTGGTGTATGTCGATTGGTCCCTTGTAATGTGCTTGATCGTACCACTTTTGTCGATGAGTCGCGGCAGATTTAACTACCATCCCACATGTTTTTTTTTGTCCATTTTAATAGTATCGTCCCCTTCTCAAATGGTAATATGTACAAGTAATAATTTTAACGTGATTCGGGAATTAATTTAGAATTGAGATCTGTGTTAAAAGTGAAGAGATTTAGCATCAAATATACTTAGACGCTCTGGCATTATTAGTTATGTAATAATATGGACGATGCGTTTGATTAATGATATTCAAAGAAACATAGAAAATTTTTAATTAGAAATAAGATGAAGCAGAACATTTTAGCAGCATAATATGTACAACATTGGACGAAGAAAATTGAATTTTATATCAGTTAATTCATATTTGCTAAGTTCGCCTCAATATCAACTTTAATCTTATTAGAATTTATATTTAGTATAAGCTCTCGTCGGACTGAAGTCCCTTTTGTTACTTCAGGAGCCTAATTAAATGAAATATGAACGTTATATTATAATTTTTCTATCTCGAATACACGTGTCCTTCTTTACGAGCTTCTCAAAGTTTTTCTTTATTTTAATATGGCATTAATTTTTTAATTATTATTTAATATCTGTCCTATTATAATTATACATTTGACTTTTGTACAGAGGATTGACACTCTTTGAGGACCTTTATATATTATAATGTCTATTAAAATTGAACGTCTCGTTAATTTTACTCCTTTCATGTCGATGAATTATATACTTTCCCTGTCTCTCTGCGTAATAGGAATTCTAGTTAGAACGGATGTTTTCTGCGAATTCATGAACTAGTTTTAAAGTGTGTCTAATGAATAGAAAGCTGTCATTGAAAAGATTTTTCTTTGTTGGCATTCTCCAATGTTTTTCTCAAACTTATTTTTATTCCATTGACTTTATTTCTTAGATATCTTTTCATCTTATTGCAGACTTACTGTTTTTAGTAGTAAACCCTGTCCAGACTCATAAAAGAGGCTAGCGGAACGGGGAATTTAAATGCCTGGTTTCTACGTCACAACTCATTCTTCGGCCATCTTGTGAATGTTTTTGAAACAGGAGGCCATTGTCTTTTATGGTAATTGACGTGGTTTGTATTCTGACTCACACAGTATTTACAGCTAAGTAAATAAGAAATTAAATAACCAGCTCAGTGGAATAGAGACTATATTCAGAAGCTGATAGCTGCTCAGTTAGTCAACAATTTTACTGCTTTCTCTGAAACCAGAAAGTTCATCATCAATCAACAAAATCAACCTAGAGCTTGCTTATTCTAGCTACAGTTTAGTAGGTGAACGTGTACACTGCCCTTGTAATCCTGGGGTCTCGGGTTCGATTCCCGGCGGTGCCCAAATTTATAACTTGTGTTGGGCAAGGCCGTGGTCTAGACAACACGGAGTTTTCCTCCGGGGGCTTCCCCGGTTTCTCCGTGGCATCCCAACAATTACTCCATTCACACACAGAAGAAGGCAATGGCAAACCACTTCTGGATCATCTGCCAAGAACGTATATGAACAGGTCCCAGTCCGAGAGAAGGATGGAAGGATCCTGTTCATATGGACCTGTCGTCAGACAGAACACTAAATAATAATAATAAGATGAGGTGGTCTAGCGGTTAGAACGCTGGCCTTGTAATCCTGGGGGCTCGGGTTCGATTCCCGGTGGTGCCCGAATTTATAACTTGTGTTGGACAAGGCCGTGGTCTAGGGAACGCGGAGTTTTCCTCCGTGGCATCCCAACAATTACTGCATTCACACACAGAAGAAGGCAATGGCAAATCACTTCTGGATCCTCTGCCAAGAACGTATATGAACAGGTCCCAGTCCGAGAAAAGGATGGAAGGATCCTGTTCATATGGACCTGTCGTCAGACAGAACACTAAATAATAATAATAAGGGCAAAATAGAGTGGCTCTAGCTAGATTGCTCTAAAAGGTACGTACACCCGCATGATGCATTGGCTAATGGAAGATCTAGTATCGTGTTCAGTGCATCATTTAGGCATTTATATTCCATGCATTCCAAACTCTCTAGAAAAAGTTACTAGTTTCTTTCAAAAAACATGTGGTGAATACAAGGAATAGTTAATTTATAATTACGATACACGAGGTAACACGCTGTTAGAGCATGGAACAGGTGTCGTATTTTGTTATGCGCAGTTTCTCCCAACAAGATTCTATTATTTGCTCGTCTGACTATGACGTTTCAGTACCAGACTACTCTAAACAAACAAGTTTTGCGCCTTGAGGACATGTTGACTTCATGGTTGAAAGGCTGGTTGCATAACTCGCTTACTGTTCGACAGATCTGTGGAGACGCTGTGTTTATCCTACGCACACCACACCCATACACTTTTACAACACAATTCGTGTTTGTCTTTCGACGAACCGTGAGGGGCTCTGCACCCCGGAGTGTGAATTTTGTGACTCCCTTTATATAGATCTGAAATAGAATTGCTTTACTTTTCATGTTTTTTTTCTGCTAAGTAACTACAGAGAAATTTTAGTTGTCGATGTTGGTATTATCTGTTATAACGCAGTATTATCTTGTAGGTAGCTACCAACTTTCCGGAGGAACCTACAGTCTCATTCTTCAGTAGTGATCCCTTGTGGACTTATTTAGGTTCCAGTGTTTCGGGGAAATATAGTGGAGTGGTGGATAGGAACAATTGGCTTGCTGTTTTGAACACGGCAAGGAAACTTTTAAGTATAGAATTTCTGAACCGTCTTTGCGACCATTATTTTCTGAAGATGCACTCTTAACTTATTACTCAGTATTCATCATGTCTCCCATCAACTGTGTTCGTCTTTATACTCATCCGTCTCTGTCTCACAGTTGCTCCCTTCATGTTTCGTCTAAATGTTCTGCTTAATATCTTGGTCTGGGTTTTCGCGTAAAGTCAAGAATTTTAGTTCCAAATCCATGCAGAGCAAAAGCTAAACTGACTTCTATATTCAACGCGAGATTTTCTGGGGAGTGGGGGGGGATATTTTTCAGTTTGATCTCTCTGTGGTACAGATGTCAACTTTTTACTATATTTCATGAACAATTGTAGGCGTAATATTTCCAAGATAGTAATTTATTTTACACTGTAATTCTGTGAAGTTATTTTGAAGCGAAGTTCCAATGTTCCGAATTGATTTGTCTAATTGTGTCAAATGCTTCTGATTCCCCGTAGGCGAAATAGAGAAATGACGCGGAGAAAGACAGACAGACAAGAGGAGCTCCGGGTGTTTAAAGTAGGTGACAACTTGTTGGTTATGCGAATCCAATCCAAAAGCACTGCAGTCACGTATTGTACGGGTTAGAAACTAACTTTAGTGACGGACGGAATTATTAGGCAAGACATTCTCTGATTTTAGTGTATCAGAAGTTTCATTACCACGTTCACAAAATCCCGAAGTTGGACTCTATCCTAAGCCATATGAATCCAGTCAAGACAACTATGTTATAATTATGTAAGATCCATTTTAATATTATCAACCCTCCTGTGCCTAGGTCTATTAGTCGGTCAATTTCTTGGGGCTCTTAAGTAAGAATGATTTGGACCAAAATTTCTAGGAGACAAGTCTAATGTGGACTGACTGTAATTTAACCACGTTTTGTGCGAAGAGATTAGCAAACGTCAGCTGAGGTAATGTGTTCGTGTGAATATTTCTTTCGTTTTTGGAATCTTCTTTCAGTTAGAGACACGAGTTACGTAAAAGTTTATCTTCTTACTAATTTCCATTCTCTGACGAAGAAAGCTTCTGTTCTGTATTGTTTATCGAGTCCCAGGACAAAACAAATGAACAGCTCTTTTGCTCTCTTCGCCTATTGTGACGAAAGAAACTTTGATATTCTTTACACAGGATCACGATTCAATAATTATATTTTAATTAAGCGTATAGGGAAAAATTAAATGCTGTTCGAAGGTCACATTCGTATGTCGCATCTCAGGAAGTAAGATAATTAACTTCGCGAATTTCAATTTTACGACGGGGAATTTCGTAACAGAAGCTTCAATTATAATGGGAAATTTTCTGTATCCAATCAACTCTGCTCACAGTAAAGAGTTGTAGAAATAGTGTAAACGTAGTAATTTGAGAATAAAATGCAACAAAATATGTAGCTCTCGTCTTAATGAAGTTGGGTGGTCACTCACTGAGCCATCAAATTACTCATTTAATGACGTAACAATGCAGTCATTAAGCCATGAGATATTTCACCAGTAAGCCACTTAGTCAATCAACCAGTCATCCAGCCATGCAGTCAGTGAGTTATTGAATCAGTGGGTCAGACAAACAGCCGGTTAGAGAGGTAATTATTAACCCAGTAACCCAGACATTGATTCAGTCACCCAGTCATTAAATCAGTCAGTTAATCGGATTCTGTCTGTCTGTCTGTCTGTCTGACTGAATGATTGTCTTGTGCTCTGCTAGTCTCAAGCACCAAGAAAACTCTGTCCACCAGATCTTAACTCTAAGGAGATGCATTATGTACCCTGACGCAAGCCCCACGCCGCTCCTGTCAGCATGTAGACGCACCCCGCAGTGCAGGGGAACTACGTTGTATAATCAGGAACGTGGTCAGCTTGGCGTCCCGGGGGACTCATTCCCCGCGGAGCTTTTGCATAAAATACGCACTGAGACTTTTATTGTTCCTTGGTTCTTTGTGCCAACTAGGCTCCATGAAGTCAATTAAGAATGCAATTATCGTAATGTCTGTGATTTCTACCATCAACAGTGGGCCTGGCCTGTTGTAAGCATCTTTTTACCTTAGGGTCAGATCTCGTCTGAGGTAAGATGTGTGTACCTTCGAGTACTATTGACAATTATACTACTACTAATACCGGAATGATAGGATAATTAACGAAAAACCACAAAACTCACCATCACTGAACATGTTACAATTGCATCCATATCAATTCCTCACAACCTACGTCCCTAATATCAAGTTAAAATTTTATAATTACATCAGTTCCTCGATGTTCCAAATGATCATTTTACAAGAGGTTTTTATACCAACATTCTGCATATATTCTGCACCATACTTTCATTTAGTATCACGAAAATTAGACAAAGTCTGAAAGAAAACAACAGCAGTAAAACAATATAATAATACTGATGGTAATAGTATTAATAATATCACTAATTATTACAGTATTAATAATAATAATAATAAAATTAGGTAAGTAGGAATATAATCTGAAACATTTAGAGAATTTTATACCAAGAAACAGACACGTGCTAAAGAACAAAGTCCCAACGTACATCGAAATACAAGTACTTCATAATCGAAGTTCAAAGCATGTAGAATGGAGGTAATGAAGGAATCCAATGAAACGGTTAGGAATATCCTCTCACCACCAAAGAATATTCTCGAACGCCTGCGGCAAAATTTAGACGTGTTTATTAGCAGATTTCTCCCCGAAAAGAAGGTGCATTGCCACAAGAATCTTTAAACGTAATAATATACGAGATTAACTGAGGAATGGTTTGAAGCTTCACAGTCGCCAGAAATTCCCGGAATTCAACGAGAATACTCGTGCACCCAGCCGGGCGAAATTCCTTCACAGCGCTCCACTTTAATTTGAACAGTAGCTTTGCAATTTGAATTGAATCATACCCCTCTTACGAGTATGAACTAAGTAAGCGTCTTAGATAAACATTCCAGCGTACATCGAAGAATTTCACTGACAATGTTGAAGTAAATGTAAAGTAGACGTGTCCCTGTGTGTATTAACTGCAAAAATCTTGTATGAACTCATAATATAATAGCCAATGTCCGTCATGCTTGACTAAGTATACAAAATTAAAATTAAATTATGACGGTGGCGACTCTGGTAGGAAGAAAATTAAAATGAGGTTATGGTGGCGCCTATGGCGGGATCTGGTGGTGTCTGCTGTTACCGAAAGTCCTTGCTGCCTCCATCAGGGCGCTGAGTAAGCCCCGCGCGTGGAACGGTTTGAGATATAAGAAACTGCCTGAAAGGCAAAGCCTTGATCTGACCAATAGGAATTTTTCTAGAATATTTAACGCTTATTGTGGTAAGAATGTAAGTCGCGTGTCTTAACTACAAGTAACTTACTTTCGATTACCCATAGACACGATGTTATAAAAACTTCGAAGCTGATTGATGGTGGAACTGAAAATCTCTCACGAATGTTCCCCACGGCGCTGAATTAATGTTGACTGGATTTTCTTTTTCAGTTTAGTGAGTATCTACAAATATAACTTTCCATGTCTGATCATATTTAAAAAACTTCTTCCGTTAATATATTTTCGCGGTAACTAATAACTTCTCTCATGAACTGCATTAACTGCTAAGAGTATCAGAACATGTTTTTCCCATCGATTTTCTCTAACACCAAGAATATTAAATCAGAAATGCTGTGATTTTAAGCGATATATCTCGTGCGTGTCATTGTAGGTTTAAAGTATAATGACAAATTCTTCCAGCAATTCACTGTTTGCTTAGTTTCACATAACATGAGAAAACCCAGTCTCTTATCTGGAGTCCACACCCCCTACTCCTTTGCAATGAACCAACACTTGACTCAGCTACTTAAACTGTGACTATTCTCTTGAGACAAGTGCCGGGCCACTCCGCTTGGTGTCTCTAGTGTACTGGTACTATCACAAGTCTGCACCTCTCCTCAGACGTAATACGATTTAAAACTAGGTCCTTCATCTAATATCAGAATTTGTTATTAGAACTAAAACTCAGTAAACGACTTCGCTTGTATTTTGAGGCCATTTCTTGCTTACTTAATGATGAAAACAAATTTGCGATGAAATGCACGGTTTTATTTACATTTACATAACGACGCTTTATCAGCTACATACGTTATATAACTTAGTATGACGGCATAATTATGATTTGGGTTAAATTAAGATGTTGTGGCTTACTTTCGTTAAATTATGTTCGTACACGGACTTTGGAAGTCAAGCATACAGAGAATTTAGGATTTCTCCTACGGCGTCAAGATTCGAACCCATGGACCTTCCTGTACGAAGCGTAACTTCTCATAGTAATTGGTACATCCAATATATATGAAAATGACTTTTCCGGAAAATAAGTGAAAGATTTTTTAATGTCGCAGTCGTTCTGTTTAATAGAATTTTCTAAATTTCCAGGAAAATTGACGTATGGATCTTAAGCTAGACTTGGAACCCAACGTTTCGCTTCTCAAAATGGGAGACAGCTCGTTGCCAGGCTCACCGACAAGCAGTTTTCTCAATCGACGTGAAGAAAGTAAGACAAGGAACAAGTGAGGAAATGACGTGAGGAGAGAAATGCGGAATTTCATAAAGAGAAAAAAAAAAGGAAAAAGAAAATTGGAGAAGGCTGAGACAGAGATTAAATGTGAATATGCAAGGGACACGGAAAACGACGAAATAATAAGTACCAAAATATAAAATAAAGATCAGCCAAAACAAATTATCAGACCTTCACATCGAAGTACAGGAAATGAAAGGAATATGCAATTAAGGAATAGAAAACGGAGAATGGAGGAAATAATGAATGGAGTAAGAAAGAGACTGATATTTAGAAAATGGAAGGAGATGATGGGAAGAACATAGGAAAAGAAATAAAGATAAGGGGGAAAATTAAATTAGGTGGAAAATAAGAAAAAGAAAGGACTAAGGAAGAGATATAAAAGTGAGAGACAGAAGAGCATAGAGATAAATATAAAGTAAAGAAAGGTATAAAATAAATAACAAGGAATAAACACGATCATGACGCAATGCGTGGGAGAGAAAATTATAACTAAGGGGAAAAAAGACAGCTCACGGGCAATAAATTTCCCTAGCGACGCGTGTGAATACAGCGCTGGTTGGCGTAACGGAACATCCAGGAATATTTAAGGGTACGCGAGAGGAAAATAAATTCTGCAGGATGCGACTTTACCGGCAATTTCCGTATGTATCGTCGGCGTCACAGAGGTACAAGTGTCTAGGCGGTCCTTTCACGCTTGGACGCGTGTGTGTGTGTGCAGCGTCACGTCGAGGGAAAACAAAGGTTTCACGCTTGGACGCGTGTGTGTGTGTGTGTGTGCAGAGTCACGTCGAGGGAAAACAAAGGCTCAGTCGGTCATTAATTTGTCTTTATTGTTTAGAATAGGGTAAAACCTTTTTTCGTTTGTTTAGTGCTACATTTCAGATGCAAGTTGCGTGACGTTATTTTAAATTGTGGTCGAATTCTTTAAGTAAGATGCTTTTTCAGAGTCGATTCAGAACAGAATTCGACAGAATTTTGCTTACGTAATTTCTTCGTCGTCTCTCACAATTAAAGTGAATAAAACGTGACTTTTTACACGATTTAAATATTCAAAGCATATTTTACCTGCAGTTTGTATTAATTAATGTGATTTTTTCTGATTCTCAGAATAAATATTATTTCCTTAATGAATTCGTTTCCTGTTTTCTTTGAGGTAGGAACTGAATTTTTAAGTATTATTTTGATGAGCTTTGCTTTGCAAATGATTAAAACTTGTCCTGCAGTGAAATATGCTGAAAACAAAAAACATAGACAGAACAAAAGTATATTTCTGGGACACTTCTTCGATACACAGGCATGCAGTCAGAATTCGCGAGGTCCATAAATATGTTACAGAGACACATTAAGTCTGAGGCTTGGTTGGATATAAAACTATCATCCCGAGGGAAATTTGCTTGATAGCATTGGTACGATTGGAAGAGATCCACTACTGCGATTTTGAAAAATGGGACTTTTAGTACGTGTCTTAAATATATAAGTACATTTATTACGTGTTCAGACGTTCACCTGTTGAACTAGTGCATCGTATGACCGTCAAAGTAGGCGGGAATAATTTTTTTTTTTGGTATTGAACACTAATGCAGTTTATTGCAAACTGCGATGAAAATTCTTTATAAAAATAAATGTGAATTCATAATCACGGCGACTAAAAGCTGACTCTCGCCAAACATACACTCTCGTTTGCATTTTTTGCTCCGGAGACCCCCACTGTCAGAACTTAATTTCAATTCCTTCTCATCAAAGTCGTCGAGTCGAGGATGGGACAATATTTAGGAGCAGTTTCAGTTAAAAAAATTCCCTGATATTAATTTTGTTGTTGTCATAAAGACCTTTTTAACACTGTTCCAGTATTCACTGTGCTTTCACAAAACTGAGCGTGGTGCAGAATAAGGGGTTGATGAGATACTTACATTATTTCGCAGTTGTCATTTGCAAAGGCAGTGACTGGACGTATAAAATGTTAGCGTTTCCGAGTAACGCTTAAAGTCTCAGATAGCCTGTGACGTTTTTTTTTTTAAACTTCATTTGACGAGATTTTCCTAAATGTAGGTCGTATGGCTAAACGTACCGGACAGCTGTCTCATATAAAAACCTGGGATGGACAGACAGACGAGGAGCCTGTCAATCAGGAAGGAATAGGGTCGATTCATCTCTGCAGCTACTTCCGGTACAGAGTGACAAAAGTGGAACAAGGAAATACGAAAAGGCTTCTGGTATTTGTCTTCACACGCCACAAGAAGCAGATTAATTTTCCACAAAACTTCGACTTTCCTGTGATATATTTCATCTTCCTAGTGTGTTTTAATAGACGACTGCATAGGCCTCGTATTTACGGGCGTTTAAGGTCTTAAGCCGAATAATACATTAAATCTGATTTTGCAGTGTGAATAATGAATTGTACGGGATCGGGTCTCAGCCTTATTTTAGACAGAATTTCGGCATTAGCCTGAGGGGAGTCAGGAAAATCACATAAACGTTAATCTGGAAATGTTGTTCTCCGGGCCGAAATTTTAATTCGGGATTTCTCGAACACAGTGCAGGAATTCCAACCAGCCGATCACATTTTTAGTAAAGTTTTTTTTAGTCGCGGGTTGAAAATCTAAGCGGGAGAAATGTTTGTCTGTTTTATCGCAGTCACAATCTTTGACCGATAATTCACCCAATTTTGGCTCCTGCTGGCCTATTCGAGATAAAACACGTTTTTGTTGCTGAGATGGGCTGAGACTACAGCCATGTGTAACTACGGCCGATAACGGACCTTTTGTCAATTCCGTAATGAAATATGAATGAATAAGGAGTAGCAGTGGAATGGTAGTGCCAGGAGAAATATCTGACTAGTGCCACAAACGGATTGCCCTGGGATGAAACCCCTGAACTCCGCCGGGGGAAACCGACTACTAAGACACGGTCGATAAAACACCTAAAATGTGGTTTCTTTGAAGACAGTTTTCGGGAATGAACGCTTCTTGTAAAGCTGGGAATAAGTCTTGAAAAGCAGAGACATTTTTATAATATATAAAATTGCTTTTAAAATCGAAGTGTAACGTTCGAAAGATGGATTATTCTGGACATTTTAATGTCGCTGTGTAGGTGTGAGACTAGCTCATCCCTGAACCAGGATACCCAAGAGATAGGCTTTCTTACTTTTCTTTACCTAAACACGAAAGCGGAATCCAGCATCCGAGACGTTGTAGTTTTAAAATTTTATAATTTACGAGATGGACAGTGTAAAAATATGAAAACGTTTGTTACTCAAAATGCAAATATAAATTTTGAAATTCCCGTCTTATAATATTGCACGGTATAATAATTATAACACCATATTATAAACGTGTAATGTTGTATGTTATTCGCTAAAATATAAATCTCACGTTTGTCATCCATACAAAAGAACTGGTAAGATAATTTTTATATTACGATTTTCGAATTTTAGTAGTTAGTAAATGACACAGTTATCTCGCTAAGACGATAGGCCTGTTTATTTTAGTATTGACCTCTGAATTGGGGTCACGATGAAGACCTCTGCGCCCTAGTCCTGATTCCAAGATCAATAAGTCACAGACAACACTCCAGCAGTGTGGAGCTACGGAGATTCAGTTTAGAAAAGTTGTACTCTTTTTGTTTCTAGCCCGTTCGCCCTCGTTTCGAGCTGCAGTAGTTACGTCCCTGCCAAAAGCAGCCTGAATCTGTATTTTCCACCAAATAAACAGCAGATTAAAAAATAAAGCACAGATATTTCACCTGATTCCATCAATATTGGGCACGTAAGCCCCAAATTAAAATTTACACATATTCCGCAAAGGTTATTTGCGATTTTATAATTATATAATTGCAATAAATATAGATTTAAAAAGATAACATTCAGAAAAACTTAATGCAAAAATCTTAGTTCTAAAGATCAAGTTACATTCGTGAATGTAGTTTGTTCTATGCACGTGATAAGAGGAAGATAATGATTTCAATGATTGAGAAATATAAGGTAGATGACAGTTCCGAAGATTAGTACATAACGCTTAAAATACCACGTACATATAAATGAATAAAGTCACGTGACCAAGGGAATCATAAAATTACGGAAATGTAGGAAGAAAAACCGACTTTAAAATATTTGGAAATCATTCTTTGGTAGTGGGTTTGACGTTTCGAGTGTATACAATAATTTAGTTTTATTTTGTATCATAATTTCACACAATCGAAAGGAAGTTAACACAAATGGCGTATGAAACGAGGCTGCCTGCATTGTTCCTGGGAGATCCCGTGATCGCTTTGTGTTCCTGCGTCCTGTAAACCCTGCCAGCGATTGTCTCATTCAATGGCAGCGGCTGGATTGCTGAATGACCGGCTGAATTAAAGGGGGCGAGTGCGTGAAAACAGCTGAATCGATTACCATCGTGATTAATGATATCGATATATGTGTATTTGACTTACTGAATGAATGAATGAACGAGTAAAATCTACATTAATTCAGCAAGTTTATGGCGATTAATAAAAAAAGAATGAATTGGCGCGTGACGTAATTGTTCTCCCCACCACAAATTATGGCCAACGAAAAAAGATTGAGATGGATTGGCCATGAGATTTTAGTCAGATAACCTGAACGGAAGGAAACCTGATGATTGAGGCAGCAGGCTCTTTCTAAAACGTTGGCAAATCAAAATATTACACGTCGGAACAATCCAGTATTCAGCCATCTTCTACCTGTTTGTAGATTAGAGGATAATATTAAAATGGATATGATAGAGGATTGGATTCAACTAATTCAGGGTAGCGTCAAGTTGATGGCTTTTGTGAATGTGGCGATGAACCATCAGGCTTCATACAAATCTGATGACGGTTCTTCGTAGAGTGCAGTAGGACGTGACGTCTTCATCGTTCGTGTGTTATCTCAGAAATTTTCAAAGCCCGAAATCAAACATAAATTTCATTATTCAGCTCAGTGGTTGGTTAAGAGGCTATTAAACGGCTTTAAACTGAGAGACAACTTGGCTTTCAGTGTTACATTATGAATATTTTAACATCCCAAAGAACCACACGGAATATTGAAATAAATTAATATACCGCATATTTCTTCTGATGTAAAGTGATTGATTAGTGCGGGTGTATGAAGAT